ATTTATTTATTTATTTATTTATTATTTAGGCCTAGCTTCTCCACCCACTATCCTACATTCTCCCTCTGCTCCTCTTCCTTCTCCTTCATCCTCACCCCCCACCTCTCCTTCCAGGGCGCTGTCTAAATGTGCCAAGCTGTTTCCTCTGCACTCTCCTCTACCCGCCTCAGATGCAGAGAGTATATAACAAATTGCCCAATTTCCAATACCTGCACAGGAATAATACCCAAATCTCATCTCTTGCACCACACCCCTAAAGTCAATCTGTCTGCAGAGGGTTCCTTTAACCAAAATTGGCCCCCACCCTACCCCGCCATGGCACGCGCGCGCGCAAGCACACACACACACACACACACACACACACACACACACACACACACACTCATATCCCACACCCATTTTTCTTCTTAACCTTCCCCCAAATCACTCCAAGGAATGTTTGCACGCGTCTTTTGGGGCGTATTACTGCACTATGGGTGACTGCGGAATACGGATCTCGTCATTCCTCGCCACTCTCACCCCAACCAAGTTTCTAAAATGTGTTTCAAGAAATAAGTGAGCAATTCCACATGAAAGAAAAAAAAAATCTAGGCAGTGGGGGAAGGGAGGAGGGAAATGAGATTCTTGCTGGTCCTGAATGTAACCCTCTTCCTGACGAACGTGTCACTATGCTTTCATTCTGATGTTAACACATTTCTGGTCACTGGTAATGCCAGGAAAGAAGACTGTAAAGGGGAAAAGAGAAAAGACCCGGTTTCCAACAGGTAACACCGGCTCGCCTTTCCCATCCCATCCCAGCTCAAAGCTCCTAGGGGCGTGGTCCACCCTTTTCCGGGACCAGCTGGCTTGCAATCAGCTTCAGATTGTCGGAAGGGGATTTTCCCCCTTAGCACAGCCAGTTTCTCCCCCAGCTCCAGTTGTCTTTAGGCTCTCTTTAAAAAAAAAAAAAAAAAAAACCAAAACAACAACAACAACAAAAAAAACCCCTCCCAAATCAGTTTCATTAGTTTCATTCATTCATTAGATAAAACCTTCACGTTTTTCCATATATACCTGCGCCTCTTTAAAGCTAATATGCCTGTATGGAAATAAGAGGTCTTCCGCAGCACATGTGAGAAAAATTGAATCACAGAACAGGCAATACCCAGCCCTGAATATAATTCCCTGAACCATGCTTTTTGCAAATAATATAAAGGATCGGATCGTCTTCTCATCTCGTAGGTAGAGCCCGCATCTTCCCCACACCCCTTTCTACATCCACACCCTCAAAACCCGAGACCTAAACGCTGATCATTTACTAATAGGCAAAAGGCAATAGTCTTTCTAGCCAAGCCGGCATATTTCTCTACCCTCACCCAAATTAGTAGCAGCATTCCAAAACCAGAGCATGAAAGACGGAAAAGAATAAACGCTGGGGTGCGACCATCAGTTACCAGATGCTAAAGAAACGCGAGCACCATGCCAGGGTAGAAGCAGCTAAAACATTTTTTCCCTGCCTTTTACAGGGAAATACTGTACTCTAATTTCACAACAGCAAGAAGCAAAAAATCTTTAGCTCTACCTGTTTGGTTCTTCTCATACAGCACAGCATGGTGGTATCTTCCCGTGCCTTCTTCCTGCCTTCTCTCCTTTCCTCCTCTCTTTCTTAGTCCCCCCCTCTCCACCTCTTTTCTGCTCGCTTGCTCACTCGCTCTCTCGCGCTAGCGCGCTCTCTCTCCCTCCCTCCCTCTCCTCTCTCTCCCTCACACACACCAGGGCAGTTACCAGCAACAGTAAGGTCCACAGCTATTGCTCATCCCACATATTCTCTCTCTCTCTCTCTCTCTCTCTCTCTCTCTCTCTCTCTCTCTCTCTCTCTCCCTCCCTCCCTCCCTCCTTCCTTCCCTCCCTCCTTTTCCCTCTCTTCTTTTTTTCCACCCCCACTCAATCTTTATCTTCTTCCTTCTCTCTGAGCCTCTTTCTCAGGATTGTTCACTAGCTTTCAGTGACTAATCACTTCCCGCAGCCCCTACCCCCATTCTAGACAGTCACCCCCTCCCAGTCCCCTGCCAGCCTCATGAATATTTAAACACTTCCAATCTGGACCCAATTACCCACCGACTTTCGCACTGCATTGGTGGTGGGGTGGGGGCAGAGAGGGATATTGCCTACTGTTGCAGAGATTGGATGTTTTAGGGAAGAGAGGCCTGAGGAATGCTTGTGTTTCTTTCCTAACTCTTTCCCTTTTCCCACTACCATAAAGGTAAAAAATGGATACAAGTTATACTGCCACTTCGATTTTTATGAACAGTTAATAATTATAGAGGCTCAGTTCCCTCAATCTGTATACTTTTTTCATTATTTATGTAGACTAAATACACATGCATAATATTATACAAAATATCTCAAACATACTCCAATATTGGAGCAATCTACACACACACACACACACACAAACACACACACACAGACATATAATTTAAACATTCTACACATTTGAATTTATGAAGTTTTGGAATTAGCATCCATATCTAAAATCTCATGGTAGTTATTTTTCTTATGCACATAAGTTTATTTGAAAGTTATTGCTTCTTCTGACTTTACTGAAAAGGCTGAGCACCTGTGAACAACAGGTCTCTGCAATATTGATGGTGGTTATTTTATTATTCAGGTACAGAGGAAACAGTAAACTCACCTGTACAGAGGAAAATCTATACATCATACATCTTGAAGTCTACTTCAATTCTTTCTACTGTTTTCTCCAAATTCCTAATCTGGAGAAATATATGTGGTTTGTAAAGTACATAAACGCAAATTTTATACGTTTAGTGCTCTATGAACTTAGAAAGCTCTTTACACCTAAATTTCTCATCAGTAAAATGGGAGTGGTAAAGCCAACATGTTGTAGAGTGAAATGATACAATGCACACACAAAGCACCAGAGTCAGTAGTTTGTAGCAGAAAACTTATCTGAAAAGTTGATGACATTTTCAAGTGACTACTTCAAAGAACTTCCCAAACTAATTCATGTTGTGCATTAGTCATGACAAGTACCTCTAATTAAACAGCTCATATTGTTTTTCATCTCTCACAGACATAAACTTGTTTAATAGACAGCTCGTTATCATGTATATTTAAGCACTGTTTGGAACCGTGGGTACTTAATACATCTATAACCAAAGTCAAGGTACATGGCTCTTAGAAAGGATCTTATTTAGACGTGATAACGATACCAGGAAGGATGGTTATACATTATCCCTAGGTGTCTCTCTGGGAATGATCTGCTTCAGAACCAGATCATTTGGCCTTTTTCCCAGTTTGTTCCTCAGTTTTCATATTTTATGATTTTAAAAAAAGCTGAATTAGACTTGGGGTTTAATAGTCTTTTAACTTTGAAATAATTCCTGTCAGAGCTGAGTCTTCAAAAACAACTTTCATGATTTTAAGTGACAGAAGGCAGAGAATGGGTGAGAATGGCCCCTAATGAAGACATTGCAGTTGGAGACTGCTATGAGACTGGAAAGCACTGAAGGGAGAAGCAGAGCCCCTGGAGTGGGGACTGGGGATGAGGGGGAGGAAACAGCTTGTTTTAAACTTGGGTGATAAGACCATTTTATTAGCTCTGTGGTCAAACTTAAGACAAAGTATAGAACCAAATTCTTTCTCTTTTGATGGATTCAACCTCAGTCATCCCATTTATGTTTCCTTCCCTGTTTGATTTTGGGAAGGAACTTGGGAAACAATGTGGCATGATGCAGTCATACAAATGAGGAGTAAAAAAGGCATGGGTACAGATGAACTCTGTGACTACATACATTAAACCACAATCACAGCATTGACTTCTTCATCAGCTTCTGTGCCTTATTTTCTCTAATATTCAATGGCATGGATAGAGCAAGAATTCTGTTTTGATGGAATAGGTAGGGTGAGAGGTTAAGTTCCTTGAGTAGCTCACACAGCTAATAAGACATAACTCTAGGACTCTTAAAACCTTTTCAACTACTAAGCTACCCCATGGGCTTGTACATCTCAGTATGCCTGGTTCATTAGTAATTAACAAATATAGCAGAAGTTTTGTTTTGAAATGGGCATTGTTCAACGTCTACCTCTCAGGCCCAACCTTTATCTCAAGAGTCATGAAGAACAAACTGTCCATTCTTACCCCAGAAGGCTTTCGGTGTATTTCTAACCAAATGTCAGTTCCTATTTACTTCTTGCTTCACTGTATAAAATTCTTATTGTTTTGGATGCTTTTCTCTGGACAGATATACTGCATATTGCCAGTGAGTCTCTAAGAATTACTTCTCAAAGGAAGGACTCAAGATTGGAAGCTGAGTTTGTATAATAGGAACCAATTCCAGGATTTGTTTCCCCTTTATGCAATGAAAGTTAAGGTCAGCCAAAGAATCAAAAGGAAGAAACAAAACACACCCTGACCTTAGACCAAAACAGTAACAAACAGTTAAAATCAAAACAAAATCAAACAACAAACTCCCATGTATATACACATAATATGAAAATAAAATCACCAGTGGCATTGTCTTAATCCTTTTCTAGTAAACTACCCTATACCTCCATGACTCCTTAAGCCCTGTTACCAGTGCCCCCCCCAAAAAAATGTGTGACTTTGAACCTCATGAATGAGAACAATAAGTTTTGGGCTAGCCTATTACTTCATAAAGCTTTCAGTCAACTTCCTGACTGTATTCAATCATATCGCTTAGAAAAAGAGGAATGTTGGGAGCCAGTTCTGAGTTCTTCTCTAAGGTCTCTTTGAATTTCATACTGAAATGATTCTGTTCCCATAATAAACCAAGGAAGCAGTTCTTTGGATTCATCTAGGATGCTGCCAGTTTAGAAATAAGGTTAATACTTGAGAGAAGAGCATGTCATGATGGAAACCCTTCCATTCCACCACGCCCCACCCACCATCATTTTATTACTGTTAGTCTTAGCCTTTTACCTGGCTTACTAGGGCTGCCATAACAAAGTACTACAAACTTCCTGGCTTACAAAACAGATAGTTTTCACCAAGCTCTGGAAGCTGGAAATCCAAGATCATGATACTGACATATTTGGTTTTCTCTGTGATCCACAAGTAAAGTATCTGGTACAAGTCTCCTTCCTGGATTTGCATGTGATCACACTCCTGCTGCCTCCTGGAACATGAAATCTCTCTTGTAAGGACATTAGTCAGATTGAATTAGGGTCCATCCCTAAATTCTCCTTTTGCCTTCATTATCTCTTTATAAACTCCATACCAGAATCCAGTCATCCTAAAGTTCTGGGGTTAGACTTAATGATGGGAGATGGGTGCACAATACGGTTTAGCTCATAACTTAACCAGCATTCCATTCTCTGTCAGGACTTCCTGACCTCATTTATGTCATCCACATTTGGGGGCATGGAGGGGGCAATGTAAAAAGTATCCTGCCCTTAAGGAGATGAACATATACACGAAAAACAAAATATGTGCTGCTCAAACCAGAAATGATTCAAATATCAAATATGGGCTACAAAAATTCAGAATAGAAAACACACCATGGGGACTAAGACTGGCTTTTCATTTCATGATTGGAATTTCAACAATGCATCTTTCCATTCTCATCATTGAAGCTCCCTCATGCAACAGAGGGCCAGGCACACAAAAGGCCACAAATGGCCAAAACACAGAGAATAAGTTGGCAGAGTGTGGTTCCTTGGACAGGTCTCCTATATTGAGGTCCACCCACTCAGGGCTCAGAGACCATTACAGAAGAGGGAGCAGAAAGTTTATAAGAGCCAGGGAAGAAGTACATGACCATACAGAAATCATCCTACAGGTGCCAAGGACCCTCACATACAAACTTACAGCAATGGTGTCAGCATGCACAAGACCCATGCAAACTTAGGCAGACAAAAAGCCAGCACAGAATTGTGGAAATGAAAAGCAGGTCCCAATCTTAGTCAAAGAATTATCAGCAGCTGATTACTGCTTGGTGAGGAAGAGCTGATCTTCTTGAAGAGAGAGACTCTATATAGGCTGCCTAGGCCCCCCTGAATGAACCTGCACTGAGGGACATCTTGGGACACTAACTTCACATAACAGGCCTTAATACAAATGACAGAATGTATGAACTCCCGTGGGAGGAGGTGGGGGGATGCTATAGGAGGTGCCAAAACTGAAGGTGGTATAAAGATGATTTTATGTATGAAATACACAAAAATTCAATACAAAATTATTTAAAAGGGAATTTTAACAATGAGGGAAGAAAGGAGTTTCAGAGAAGGGAAGAGAACTACCAGAAAAGACAAAATGCACAGATAGTAATGCATGATTGAGGGATCGTCAGTCTAGAGGTGATGTAATGTGTAAAAGTAATACTAGAAGACAAGTTTGGAAGGGTAGATAAAGTCCAGATTAAAAGGCATAGTACAGCCAGGCATAGTAGCAGACTCCTTCAATCCCAGCTTTCAGAGGCAGAGGCAGGAGATAGATGATCTCTGTGAGATCAAGGCTAGTCTGGTCTACATAGTGAGTTCCAGGATAGTTGGGGCTACAGGAAGACTCTGTCTCAAAAATAAAGAAACAAACAAACAAATCTAAAAGGTGTCTTAAAGATTCAACTACATGGTCCCAAAGATGGTTCAGCAGTAAAAGCACTTGCTGTGTGTCCTCCATAGTGTCAGTTGTCAACCTGGCCTACCTGAGAAGAGGGAACCTCACCTGAGAAATTTCCTCTATCAGACTGACCTGGGGGACATTTTCCTTTTTCCATTTATTTATTTACTTATTTTTTATTTTTTATTTTCTGTGTATGAGTGTATTGTCTGCATGTGTGTAAATGCACCTGTG